TGCCATTTCCCGTAAACGAAAGGTGGCAGACGGTGTGTGGAATCATTATTGTGCTTATTTTGAATTGTTCCGCGACGCAACGCACGCGGTGCACTATTGTAATTTACCTTCGAGGAGACCTTAATATACTGTTATTCTGTCGGAAAGTTACACAATAGCAATAAACGTCATAAAAGTAACAGCTTTGGTTGACTCGTATACATTATGTTGCGTATCTGCTCGGAATATTCACTCCAACATTTAGTTAATTTTGTAATCCTCTGCTTTCTCTGGAAATATAATTCGCGGAAAACATGCCTGGCACTAATGAGCGCTAATTTCCGTTATTAAATTCATAAATAAGTTTAAAATAGAGCTGGGACGTTTTAAGAGTGTGTGCAGCGCAACTTGTCGTCCCCTTATTCGGCACGAAAGCTATCCAAGCCGTTCCTAATAAACGAAACGCCCGAGGCACGAAAAGTTGGGCGCGCGCTTTTTTCTCGTAGTGGCGTGCTGAACTTGGAAGAGTCCTTTGCGACGGCCTCCGCCCGGAAAATAGAATTCCCCGCATTTTCTCCTTTTGCTTTCTTTCTGTTCAGTTTACTCGATCCGGATAAAGGCGAGTCTTTCTTCTCTCTCGTTCTCTCTGTCTCTCTGTCTCTCTCTCTCTCTCTCTCTCTCACCATAACTCGCTCTTTCGTTTTTTGGTATAGGTGATAAACTCTATACCGCCAGATCACAAACAGCTGCCAACGATGAGTTTCAAACTTCTGATCGCTCGATCTTTCTCTCTTCGATATTATCATTGATTTACTTTATAAATTCCATGCATTGTATGGTTTCTCTATTAATCGTATTACAGAACCATTCATCATTTTTAAAATATTTTACATCAACTATAAATTTCAAAACTGTAGAAAATTAAGAAAAATTCTAATTGGAATATTTTAAGAACTTGAAGAACTTTATTAAAAGAATATCGTTGAAAATTTAAATACTTAGTCAGAAAAATCGATATCTTACCAAATACATGTTATTAAGTAAATTGCTAATAACAATTTATGCATATTGCAGCTATAAAAATATTCCAATATAAGAATGTGAATTAACCAGATATAGAATGCAAACAACATTTTAGCAGTATAATTCATGATCCAAAACAATTCCGACATTTTCGTATAGAAATAAGCGATAGGAGATAACTTTGAAGTTGTTCTGTTATGCAAAATTTTAATTCAGCATATTATATTTGAAATTACTTTTGAAAATGAACTAAATATTGTATTGCCAAAAGAATACGCTACATTCTTAAAATGAAGATCATCCAGATATAATTCAAAATTACGCTAGCAATACTTACAACTCTCGTAATTTCAAATGGTTCAAAGTGAAGACATCGTTGTCGCATATCTATATATAGTGCGGGTAACAAGTCATGGTCATCCTTCATCGCGACACTCAGAAGTTGCAGTGGCTTGGAAGTTCGGGGAGCAGATGCATCTGCGACATATTTCAAAAGCCAAACTCCAAGTATATTCCCATCATATTGGTCCAATTTGCTGTTTCTCGCTTTTTCTTTTTTTTTTTAATGCTGAAACTCAGCGACGGCAAAATAAAATAAGTCGACTTTCGATTTGCGAGCTTTCGCTCGTCGAGCCCGACCTACTTTTTCTCTTTCTCCACGTACTCTGTCTTTTCTCTTGACGTGTGCACCGTGACTCTCGGGCTAGTCGGTACACACGCACACACACACACACACACACACACACACACACACACACGTACATGTAAAGGGCTGTGCGTGAATTTTCTTTACACTATACGTGTATACTCCTCTACTCCTTTTCAGGCTAACGCGTGAGATGAGAGGAAAAAAGAGAACCGTTCTGCTAATAATTTATTTTTCTTTTTCAGCTGTTTTGTGACAAACTTTTCTAGCACAATCCAACGGTCAGTTTATATACATCAAATATAAAGATTTATCGCGATTGTTAACTTGACGAGTTATTATTTTTTAATTAAAGGGAAATATAGTTGTGATGTCATAATAACCCGAAACAAATGTGTAAGCAACGCATCTCTCCAAATGACGTAAGCATTTTGTGCATTTTCGAATAAGCTAAATGACGCATTTAATCAGTAATTACGTAAGCGAGCTGAATACGCCCAGTTCATAAACGATAGGCACATTATATCACTCGGGTATTAAGCACAATTCATTCATGACAAGTACTCGAAGCAGATCTCTCAGCCATGTGCAAGATGGTTAATTATCTTTCTAATGAAAGATATGCTCCGGGTCAATTACAGAACGTTCAAACGTCAATTAACTGTAGTCATGTGCCAAAACTGAAAGTGCTCATAGAGAAAGTCTGCGATCTAAAGATTAGTCCCCAAAAATACGCCGCAGAAGCCAGAGGCAACTTTTTTTTGTGCCATACGTATCCACGCAGCAATGATCACAGAGTTGACAGCCGAACGTAACGACGGTGATTATTAAACGAGCTTGTTTGCGTGTAACTATGTCGTAACTCCAGCGCGTATGAAGAATGCCCTCGATAATCAAACCCGTACTATTGACAATCAACATTCATATTCATATAGTGGACTTATATAATTTTGTTCGGGCGCGGAATTCGGCAAAGACGGTAGATCCGCTGCTCTGTCACGCGCGTCACGATCTCTATCGCTTGCAAGGCATTAATTCTGTCATATCGCGCGCTCTCTCAAGCACAGCCGTGTGCCGTGAGCGCGCGCGTGCGCGGCGGGCGTATAAATTAATTTGCACGACGCGGATATAGAACGCGTGCAAGTGAGGTTGGTGGAGATGGCGCATCGCCCGGCCATATCCAGCGATAAGAGCAGCCGCATTCTCTGCGCACGCAAGTATTGCATCTGTGTGCGCGGCGCGCGCGTGTATATGTTACAGGATGATTATCTCGTTCGTTTGCTTTTCCTATAATAGATGCGTCGATTTTCAACTGCTGCTCGCGTTGTCTCCCGATATTATCTATGTGCTTTCAACCGTTTTCACAATTTGCCCCGAACAACATTGTTATTAGCAAGCTTATAATTCCACAGCGCCAACTGTCTCACTCGAACTCTAAATTGCTATCTTTTATATTTCATTCTTCTCAACTTGATTGCAATGAGAAGATGATATAACTTGAAATCAATCATTTCATTATTGAACCACACAACCCCGTCCCTCGTTTATGCGCGCCATAGACACGAAAAAATTTTTAACTAACCTTTGTCGCGAACGAATGACAAAAGTACCGTTGAACTGACAATCGCACAAAAATAGTCCTAATGTGTGTGTGTGTGTATGTGTGTGTATACACACACATTCTTGCAAGAGGAGAAAGAAAAGTGCAGCGTTCAACTCTCACGTCGTCCGCAGTCATTTTTCCTTTCGTGTGCGCGGTCGGCAATCGGGCGCCTCCAGCACTTTCCAGGCCTGCGGCGGACTACTCGGCTCGGCCTCGCGGAAGCGATTGCGAACTGGAGCGCCGTCAGGCATATATTTACCGTATATTATACATTCATATATATATATGTACGAACCTGGATGACAAGTGACTCAGGTGAATTAATTAATAAAAACTAATTAATGCGCAATCGTTTTTTTAAATATTCAGATAATTCTGTTACAAAATTTTAAGTGCACATTCCTATTTTTCGATTTTATCGTTCTATAAAATGTGGCCTATCTGAAAATCATGTAGTGTAAGTAAAAACGTTTCTATTTATTTAAATTTTTTTTTAAGAGGAAGGGGGAGTGATTAACGAGCAAGAAAAGATAACGTAAATATGTAGTCAAATTCGAATTCTACGGGTTTTGAGCCGATGAATAGGTCGAAAATAATATTTTGATTTATTTCTTTTTAGTTCTAAATAATCCATAAAATAATAAAGCAAAGAAATTAGCAGTGCGCACGCTTTTGTAAATTTATTAAAAATCGCATCGAATTAATCGATGTTTTCCGCAAAACTGCTCATAAGCTATTGACATTTTTTTGCAAACTACACCAACCGCCTCTTAATCAGCATTACATAAGCATGGGCTTTGGTCAGGTGCTTTTTACTGCTCCACGCTTCGAATTATGCGGGGCCTTTAATTTTATGAAAAAGTACTCGTGATTTGTAACGTGGCAACATTTCGTTAATAAATAGCCTTTACTGCGCTGATCGTTGATTTATTATCCCCAAAATCTTATAAATAACAATTTCATTTCTGAATTTCGAGATAATTGATCGACCTTATAGCAAAATTAGAACGTGCAAAATCGAGATGTCATTAATGAATTTAGTAATCGGCTGTTTTTATACATCTGATGGGTATATAACGAATTCCAATTCTACTTGGCATTATGGTGAAGAACTTGTTATAAAAAAAATGTAAACGTCATTAATATTACGTCAAGAGTTGAGGCCACTCAAGACCTTTATGTATGGCTGACGACTTGATCGTTCCAACTGCGGTGAAACTTGAATTCATCCCCATGTGAATGGGGAAAAAAATGAATCCATGCAAATGCGTGCACTACGGTAGATATATGGTACTCACCGCGAGCTAAGATTTATTAAGCGCAATATGCGGCTTTCGACGACGATTAGGCCTCCCATTCCCCCTCCTTCCACAAAAGAAGTAACTCGCGCCAAAATCGATTACTTCAGCGATGCGCGCGGCCGCCCCAGCCGAAGCACCGCAAGATGCGGCGGCGCGCCGCTGCGGTTGCCGTCAATCGGGCGGCATATACGTTTACCTGGATAACCAGCTGCACTTGATTGCTCTTGCGTTTGTAGCTTTAGATTTTTGCTTTGAATTCCATACGTTTAATACAATAAAAATAATAAATGAACGGTTATCAGTGAAGTCAGAAAATAAACGTAAAAGAATGCACAAAACAGTAATAATTACCAAAGATAATTGTCATGCGTCGTAATTGAAATGACGAGGGACAAATGGAACAAGAATACAGATAAATTTGATAATTTGACTTTAATAGCCATGAAATCAATGCATTTTCTTTAATATTACATTAATCGCTCACATTCAGATCCACCTCATGTCATCAAGTCCGAAGTTAATTGCAAGTAATTAAATTTATCTAATATTATGAAAATGAATGCAAAACACGTTAGGCAGTATTTAATCAGTTTGATGCGGACTTCAATGAATATGTTAATTGATAAACGTAATGAGTATGTACAGTACTTTACATTAACAATAATGTTATAAATTCATAATATTTGCTACTGTCACATGCAGTGATTCATTGACTTAGAACAAACCAGCTAATGCAGGTAGAAGTAACGATCAAATTATGTATATATTCTGTTAAACAATCACTTATATACATACGTATATATACAGACTCATATGTGAGTGTCGGTTATTTAGACTTGTTTTCGAGCTTCTTTTGTAAAACATGTACACACATATTATACGTTGTCAAATTTAGACCTTAATTAACATTTATATAAACACAAGTTGGCAACATCTTAAACTTGCATAACTTGCTTTTACTTTATCCACTCGAGATTTAATTTTTTTTTTAAATTATAGACACATTTTTTATAACTTTGTCAATACCTTTCGCGCACAGCGATGAAAGTCTCTGTTAAGTTTCATATTATTTTTAGATTAATGAGTGTTCGTCCACTTATTGATTCCTAATGTAGGCACTTGGACATATTGGTGACGAGCAGCTTTGTCCCGACTAGTACCTCTTGCATCCAATAAGGTTTAGAGCGAAAATTAGTAACGATAAGCATGGTACCTGGCTTCCTGTAATTCCAAACAAAACAAGGTAATGCATTATTCATGAGAAATTGCATAACAAGTCGAGAGATTTTGAAGTATGTAAACATTTAAATTGATCATTTTACGAGGATTAAAAATTCTCATAAAATGTGTAACGCTGTCTTTATACTTGTCACCCGCGCGGCAAAAAAATGGGAACCGCGCAGTATTCTAATTTCCCTGGGGCCGTTGTTTCGTCATTGCAGAGTTAATAGCCAGTGAGATGAGTAGTGCGAAATAGTAGTGACAGCAGCAGCAGAGACTTTTTTCGTCAAAGACAAATTAAATTAATTAGCTGCATTATATCGCACAATGTTTCATTCATTTATTCTGCTACTTTGAAACTACCAACGGCTAATCGTATATATTTTTATTTTATCTCTCAGATATTAGAATGTAATACATCGTGCGGTTTTTAATTGGAATTAATTTTACATCTGCTTAAGTATTTTTAACATAATGAAGTATTACCATTATAGACATATTCCTGTGCAGACGTGTAATTGGCCTCCGGTATGGAAACTTCGCAGCGGAATATTGCCGGCAGCCCGACTCTGTCAGCTTCCAAGATAGCAACTACTTCAGCGTTGAATCTTCCATCAGTTTTATTTTTATACCTTTGTTGTTGAAATTCGATCGGTTTCCTAATTCAAGGCAAAAGACGGAAATATTATAGTGACATTAAGTTAGATAATTTCTCGCACAACTAGTCGCACATTTAATTGGTAAGCAAATTCGAGCAGTTTTTAGTAATTAACAGTGTTCTCCTATATTCCGCTACTGACATAATTGAATGGATAATCGGTTTATATTGAATACTGATTAAAATTCGTACTTTTGTTTCATTGCCTTATCTTTTGATTCATTGTTTTGATGGAAATGTCAGTTACGGAAGCAAGAATCAATAAGTTATCGCAGACAAAAAGAATACACCGATTCTTACAAAAAGTGTTTTGTTTAAATGCAAATAGAAACACTGAAAGAGAATTGCATGGAGCAAAGCATGCAAAGACACATGCACACGCGCACGCACACGCTCACACGCACACAGATACACACGTACAAAATAAAATACATATTCAGGGGGCGCTTAAGCCAAGTGACCTGTCTCTCACCTGTCCAGATGAATAATGATCTTAGGCCGTGGATAGAGGTCTTCAGCTAGACAAGTGACGGTGAGGAGGTTTGCAGTTTTATTCAGCACCGGATGATGCAGCCGTAAGCTTTTTGCCGGAGCTGCAAGCACGTAAAAAGAGAGAAAAAAAGGAGTGAGCGTAGAAGCCATAGCTATTAGTATTTTAGTCAGACCGGGAGGGGGACGAGGGCTTTCAGCAGGTCTCTTGGCACCTCGCGGAAATGGGAAATCGATTCGACACTAATGAACTCATTATCACGCGAAATTCCATCTACACTCGTCCTCTTCCCGCCCTCGCGCCTATTAATTCTCGTGATATTTTTTCTCGGCAACTATCACGTGGACGGGCGCGCGCGCGCGCGAACGCGCGAGAGGCCGGCAAAAAAACTGGCTGCATTAATGCCGGCGCCAGCGCGATAGTGCCAAAAAACGGGCAAGTGCTCGGCAGGCGTATTATGCTTGCTACCGAACGGCAGCTCGATATATACGCTTTATCCATGCATATTCATACGAGACACAGCGCTTGTGCCGCTCCACGCACCCGCTAAAGCAGAACGCGTGTAAGGAAGGATGCTGTTCCTTTGCTGCGTACATTCGTCGAGGATGCACTTTGTCAAGATAATGACGACGACGATGGCGACGAGGAGGACGACAGCAAGGCGAAATCTCGCGAACACGTCTCACGCGAGGCGTGAAAGCGACGAGTTAAATCCCGAGCCCCGTCGAAGCGTAAGCGTTGCATTATACATTCGCCATATTGCAAAGGAGGGCGGTCGCTGCTAGTGCAAGCGCCGCCGACGTTGCCGCTGACGCTGCCGCTGCTGGTACAGCGGGCAAAGTGCTTTTAGCGCGAAGGAACGCCGCTAAAGCGCTCGAGGATTTGTTCTGGTTGGCTGTGTGTATATATACAAAGTCGGCGGCGGCGCCCCGACGTCGCGCAAGTGTGTAGCGTGTCGCTTGGAGCGCGAAAGTAAATCGCTAATGCAAACGCGAAGCACGTAAAAGGTTGTACGTGCGCGATGCCGCCGAGAGTATTACGCAACCTTCAGTTTTTCTCCGCGCTTCGACGATCAAAGTTGAACGCTTTCGGTAATTGTTATTTTGTTTCTGACTTTTCCCTTTCCTTTTCCCTTTCCTTTTCCCTTTGGCGAAGGACCATCGATTGCATTGGTATATACGGACTCCATCGTCGGCAGCTACTCACAGAATAGTTCACTCGATCGAATCCCCATAATAATCGCCAACTTTTTCATTAGAGCCAATGTTAATGGACTCTGTCTCTTCCGCGTTTGCGATTCCAGTAATTTCTTGAGCCACTTTGCAGAAAATTTCAAAGAGCATCGCAATATGCGACAAGGAGTGAATCGTGCGAGAGCTTAGTCCTTGTGATAACAAGTTCAACTGCGCCGTTTTCTCGACTTGTTCTTCTTCGGTCGATGTTCTAACGGTTATCTTGGTGAGCCGTGGCAAAAAAGATTTTTTCAAAATGTGATTGAACTGTTGAACCTCTGAAAAGTTATACTTTGTTTGCATGGCCTAATAGCTTTTCCCACTCTGCTTGTTACAGATTGCTTACGTGAGAGTGCACGATACTCCATTTTAAACAGGAGTCGAGTCTCTAGAAGCATATTCATATAGCAAGCAGCGAACATATTTCAACTCTCTAGGAAACGCCAGGATTGCAGATAATTCGGCAGGCCAGTCCCCAAAGCGCGCGATTTTGTAAAGAGAGAGTCGCCCTTGGAATCGTACAGCTTGATCGATGGAACACCGCGGCGAAACATCCATCCTACCTAGTCACTTGGGTAGAGCGCGATTCGTCTTTTCTGCGGCGAAACAGAGGGAGAGAGCGAAGTAGCCGCGCGTGATTGATTGATTGGCATCGTTTGCTTCTTATAAGCGTGCGGTAAAGGAATCTCTGCCTATTCCATTATTTTTTCAGACGACCTCCAGACAATAGATGAGTTTCGTGTATAGACATTCCCGTTACCGTGTAATTGAGTCTAACGTACTTTATTGATCACCTTTCGCGAGATATAGTCTTTTTAAGACGACAAATGACGGAAAAGAAGAACTTGCCTGTGTTAAAATATTGAAATGAGGATATTCGCAAAGTACACTCATATTGATTTGCAAGCGTTATAAATGTCTTAATAATGTACGAGTAAATAACTGTCCGTACAACCAATATCGAAATTATTAAAATTCAACTTGTGATCATGAATATTTTAATAATGAAATCATTTCGTTATTCCGCGTATTTGACGATAATTTACATGCTTCAAACAAATTCAATATCATCAACGGTGAGAGTAGAATTGTGATGCGCGCTACAAGGCAGAATTGTAATAATACCGGTATGATTGAAAACTACGGTCAACAATGGTCCAATTGAAACAAAATCAATCCACTGTTTTATTAAAACGTTCAAACTGAACTCAGTTGGTATTAAATTTCAAAGCAATTGAATGCGCTCATATTGAAATTGGAAATTGTACTTACAGTAGACAAGCATTTTTCGCACAGCCTCAGCTTCGTCGGAATAAGTAGAAATGAGACACTTGACATTCCCACTGAGTTCGTGTCCGGGCTTGACTAGTTTCACTGCTCTGTACATGGTGTTGGGATCGTCACTGGCTTTAAACGAAGGGTCGATGTACTTTCTGAATTCATCGCTACCTGCCGGTTGCTTGCCATGTATCCATTGGTAGAGCACATCTTGATTCACGAACCACTTGATCACTAAACCACGAGTCGACGATTTGCCTAGCTCGTAATTGCAGTCTAGCACTGTTGGATCTGTGCTGCCTGCTCTTATCAAGTATGGGATGTCCACTGTAGTGATGTTGATGCACAGCACACCTGTGGTCAGAATTACGATTTTGAGCTTTAGCTATTCATTTGAAAACCGACTATAGATGAATACATAATATTAATATTTTTAAATGCTTAGGAACTTCATCGTATTGACTAATTGTTTTCCAATAGAACTTTGTTCAACGGTCGAACAAATAATTCGGTTACGAAATTCAATCAGATAAAACTTTTACCTGGATCCTTTCCACATATAATATCAAAGACTACAAGCAAACATTTGAATGTCTAATAACACTTGCTTATTTGGAATTTTTTTGGAGCAGAAAAATTCAATAACTTGATCTTTGTTCTCAGAGACAGGAACATTTTTTCAAAATTCACCTAAACCGGAGTTGTCTCGGGTAAGTCGGCACATCCGTGTACTCGTGTGATATCAGAACGCTTCTGCGATTTACATAATAACAAAATGTAGAGTACTATCGGAAAACTGATGCATCCTAAATAAAATCCAATACAAATATCCATTCCGTCTGCCGTTACACATTCATTTGATAGTATTGGATCGCGTGCACGATTTCAAAATAAAATAGACGACGATCATTCTCGTGCCAAGAAGAATCCCATGTACTCATCGGAGTATTGGAAACGAATTGCATGGGTACGCGCTCAAGCAGCGCTTCATAAAGCGGATTTGCGCAGCTCAGTGCAAGTTTCGTCATTGAAAAGGCGCGGCGCGACAACGAGAAAATAAAGAGACGGAAAAAAGAGAGACGTCGCGTACCCTGGGGTCGAGCGAAAACCGATAGCGTTTCCGCGTCGATACTCGCCCTTTACAGTCTCGTTTAGCAGTTAGCTCTCGCGCCGAACTTGGCCAGATTAACCAAATCCAGACGCGCGTATATTTGTAACTTTTGCCGTACCGATCAATCCAATTCGACCGTAGAGCCTCGCGCGCTCGACTTTAATTAGCGGCGTGCCAACCAGATCGCAAAAGCGGCAAAACGTAAATATTGTCGGTGCAAGAAGATATGGTCTAGTTAGGTCAGACGGAATGCGTTAAAATTTCGACCTATCGGAAAATCTATACCGCGCGGCTGCGATACGCGGCTCGCTCTCGGCTGAATAAACCAACGGTAATCGGGGTTGCGGCATCTAGCTCTCGGTGCTCGCGCGAGAGCACGCGCGCCACCTTCGTATGCGCCTGCGACTTAATAAGCGAGCCTCCGCTTTTATACATTATCACCCGCCGGTCGATGGCCTCGCACTCGCTTTTTTCCTTTCTCCTGGCGCTTCGAATTGAGCTATTACAGCCGCCACAATTAGTTATTGCGAGTGACAATTATCGATACCCTCATGTATAAAGCAACTGATGTTGATCGTACTAAATTTATCGAGTGATTATACGATGTGTGCAATTTCTCATTATTTCTGGATGGTAATTGATGCACTCGCCAACAATGTTGAAGCTAACAAGCTTACGAGAATTAATTCATGCTTATAAACGTTTAATAATTGTTAACGCTCAATGAGAATTAGATATTGTTGCTATAAAAAGTGATAGAGTATTAAAAATATATTCCTACGAAAAGAATCAGGCACATATTAGAAAAATTGAAAAATATCAGTCAGAAAGTCGATTTGTCAAAAGTATAGCAATATTCTTGAAAAAAACTCGAAATTATCGTAGAGTGTAGTTGAAAGCTGCAACACTGTAGATCATTTATCAAGACTATAAGTTGAAGCAGGCATCTGTTGCCGACGAAGTAAGAAAGTTTGTCTCGCCCTGGGTGCAGCAGATCGTCCACGCTCTCGAGTATTAAGAGAAAAAAAGGCGCAATGTCGAGAGTGGAGTGAAAAGAGAGAGGGCACGTAGCAGCACGAGTGGGTCGAATTTGAGTTCTCTCGTTAGTGCGATGCACGGCAAGAAGCGTGCGCGCGAGGAAGAAGGAAGAGGAGGATGAGGATGACGCCGACGACGACGACTCTCGTCATTGTCGGTGACACATCAAAGCCCGAGACTCCGTTTGTCAGAGCCTCAAAAGCCGCGTCGGGAGAACGGACTCGAGTGCTAGCCCGCGGAGCTTTTGTCGCGGGCGATGACGAGTCGTACGTTTCAAGAGCCGCGCGCGCGGCAAAAAAGAAATGCGCCGAGGGCCAACATGAACGAGTTCAGAGTTGCCAGCACTGCGCACCACTACGGCAAACTCGTCATCGCTCATTCGCTTTGGTGTCGCGCACGCGGAATGATCCCTGAAACTTTTATCGCCACGTTGTTTTAACGCTTTGCCCTTTGAACTTTACGTTCATGTTGCCCCGTCACATTCTTCTTTTTGCCGTTTAATATTCATTAATCATATTTGATTCTGAGACCTACCTCGAACGAGATATCATGGAATGTAACTATGCACTAACATGTGATTGTTATTCTTGCACATTTTTCATTAAAATAATGTCGTATTTTCGCGAAGAAGCTCCATGAATGGAAAAATTACATCGAATCAGGATATACTTACAAACGCTTTAATCGGCTAAAATATTTTTATATTTTTCAAAATCATTTACATTTCCGTAGGAAACATAATTGATGATGTGTCCAAAATTATATTTAAAAACAGCGGAAATCATTTCAAAAGAAGCATATATTATGACGAATACAGTTGTGAATTGGTATACATAAAATTCACGCACGAAAAGACTTATTTTATATATCGAAACTGAATTCCTTTCACAATTTTTCAGTGCTCCGATTCAGTGTAAAACTGAAAGAATGTAACAAGGAAGTGCATGCACCCTTTGTATGAACGGGTGCGTGTACTCGTAGTACTGGCCACTTCACTCACGCAAGCGCAAGATCAAAAGCGCGTCAAGTGCGAAGTAAGAGACCGATTCGCGTCGAGCGACAAGTACTGGCGTCCCTCTTTTTTCTCCCAGTTTTACCCTTGCTTCATGCGCTTGTTTTCGTATATACGCACAAGCCTTTGTGACGCGGCGCTGCCTCGAGATGACTTCCCCTTCCGCGTTTTCAAAATGGTTATTCAACCAGCAAAGTTTTTTTTCATTCTTTCACAGGATATTGTAATGGATTTTTTTTATTAAGATGAGTGAAAATTTCCTTTGGCTGAAGTAATTCAATCCAAGTAATGAAAAAAACGCTGTTGCAATAAAATATTGACTTTGTGGAACAGTACCATCAATCTAAATGTATATAACGTTGTTATTGGCAAGCTTGTAGACGTTGTTTGTAGTCGTGAATTTCCGTTGGTGAACAAATAAATAAATAAAAAGAACCCGTATTTGTTGAGAATATATAAAAGATAATGAAATACCAACAAAACAATTCGATAGCTGAATTTCAATGAATGGAAATAACAAATTTTGGATCTACAATATATGTTTTCCGGTTAATACAATTAAATCTATTTTTATGTTTTCAAGCTGTCTTTCTTTGACAGTCAAATCAAATTCTACAATTGATACTGAGTATAACTTAAAAATAATTTGATTCTTTTAACTACTCTCTAGAACAAATTTACTGATTCAATACAATTAATACGAAATATATTTACAAAAAGAAAAATAAACAGAAAAAAACAAATAACTACAAATTATAAACGTTTATTTGTTTGTTTCTGTCAGCAATCCACGGATGTACTGATTAGATCGATGCGTAAAGAGCTTTATACATAAAAATATGATGAGATTGCAAAAAGGTAAAGTGAGATATAACTTTTGTCGGGAATCACTCTTTTGAAGCGAAATGCTGTCATTACTGTAAAAACTGGAAACGAATATTGCGAGTAACGACAGAATGTAAAAAGTACACTTCACAACGAAGCTGATATTGCAGAGAGTAGAGTTCCTTTGACAATATGTTGCAAGTCTACGGTGTAAAACTTTACGAAGGAGAAATGTACAGCGCAAGAGCACAGGTGTCTGACGAAAGAGCGCTCTATTCCACTTGTTTACCGGCGTCGGGCGAGGTCAGTTATTTGCACTTACCCTACATTCTCATCCGTATTTTTTTCCGAGTGGATACAGTAGCACCACAGTCCAGTTCACTGTGGAATACCCGGTTTTCTTTACTGGAAATGCTGTTTACTTTACGATTTCAACGTCTTTAAGAAAAAAAAAGAAAACTAAACTTTCTCGAACTCAAAACTCGTTTCTTTGAAAGCTTATATTTGTTAGAGTAAAAAAGTAACAAATTATTGCTCTTTTTGTGTATCATGATATTTATACAAAAGGATGCAACTTTCTATCAAACGAAAAAGTGCAATTTAGTCCGAGATAATTGCGATCCTATCAAAGAGCCATCGCGATAGTGATAAATGAAATAAATGAATGTAGAAAACATTAACATTTATCTTGCCGAGTGAAGCTTATGAAAATTCATGGTTGTGAACGATCGAATATGTTGGTATGGCGACAATATATATCGCATCGGAAAATCCGCGCTTTAGAGTCATCCTCGGAAGATGCAATTTCCGCATAAAGAGGACCAGGGTAAATTAGTAATGAAGCTATTCAATGGCTTCTGGCTTGGTGGTAATTTATACACTCGTGGCGTATATGGCCTCCTTTTTGGATTAAACGGCTGACATGGTGTAATGCTAGAAGGCTTCTGCTTGCGTACGCATTTCTCGGGTGCTCAAGGTATTTTATATTTTACCGTAAACACATATTCGGACGCGCAGCCAGGAAAGGACAAATCTTCATTTGGGTATAAAAAGCTCAATAGATTGAATATTAAAATCAATGTGATCTATACGTGTTTTTCGGGATCTGTAAACAATTGCAAAGAGCAGCATTGTGAAGTTCGTGGAACAAGACTATACAACATTCAGAGATGTTGAATGCGTTCTTTGTATGCACTTTGATCAGATATCCAATAATGTTTTTATATATGTGTATCTCTCTCTCTCCCTCTCTCGATTCTTCAGCTGATCTATTTTGTTTTATATCGTGTAACCAAAATAAAAAACATCGATGAAGATAAACTTAGAAAAACGATTCAACATCTGATATGTACCTCTGTTTCTCGTTATCTAGCTCGTGAAGTTAGTTTTTAAAGAACTGCTTGATTTACTCATTAATATACGGGGCTACAAAGAAGAGAGAGATAAAGATAAAGAAAGGGAGAGTTTACAGTAGAAAAATAATTGCTGTGGGCGCACAATAAAGAGACGTTGGAAAGAATTAAGCGTACGAGCCGCTGGCGCTGCCTGCAGCCTGATAGAAAATTTATGAAATTCGCCGACTTGCAGAGTTGTCTTGGCAATAAGATTGGGCTGCTTATCTGAATTAACAGTGCATATATACCGCATGCCACGGGACTATAGCTAAACAGAGAAGCGGCGCGCAAACTCGCACACATACGTGCGCGTGCGCGCGCATGCCGACATAGACTTTTGCAAGAGAAGAGAGAGAGAGCTAATGAAGATTCGTGGCAGCAGTGGCAGAGAGCATTGCGTTAAACAAAGATCTACGAGGTGGCGGCACTAAGTTTCACTCAACAGCCACAGCGCGCTGCTTTGCTCTTCTACGTGAGTATAAATGGAAATTACAAGGCGCTTTGAGCGCTCCTTTTTTTTATTTTACGCGCGATCAATTTAGTCGGGATGTCGTAACTCTTAACCTCCCCTTTCCCTTTGCCACCGAGTTGCTACGACACGATCAAACTTCAGATCACGCATGACACTTTGTAATGTACAGTGAAAGTCCGACCCGATCCTATGCACATGCACGCGCGCGCGCACACATATATACACACACACATACGCACACACGCACATACTCGCATATGAGGTTTACGACTACGAGGATAATTAATATACCTTTGTACTGAGGTAGAGCTCTATGAACATATGTCTTTCAGCTTGTACGTATTTAATGTATGCGTTTTCATGCTGGCAAGTGTATATTATGGAGTGTTTCAAATATTTAGCCTTGGTTATGAACATTGATTTGTTACTAGAATGATCTTTGTAATTTCATTACCGTTGCATAGCATTATAGTTATATCTATAGTTGCATTTAGGTAAAATCTGTATATAGCATATTACGATCAATACATTAATAGTCAAATAATTTGAATTCTCTCTCTCTCTCTCTCTCTCTCTCTCTTCCAGCTTAACCTATTTAAGCGGTGCGCATGATAATTGGATACTCCAATATTACATCAATCTGAATTGCTTGTGCAATCGAGATCATCATCTTCCTCTGCTATTCGATCCTGTACTATCAATGAAACTTATGAATCTAGCTGCTTTTATCTGTAGTATTGGCGAAAATACGATATTCTCGAGTTTATTGAAAGCCACGTTTAAATTAGAGCAATTAGCGAAATCTCATTGATTTTTAATTTGGATTGGTAATGCTGATTCTATCAAATATGCTATTTCAAGGAATATTATTGCTATTAATCTAGTACAACGGTGATTCCGGTTCTTCATGAGCTTATACATTTTCGTACTTTTTCAATTAAGCTTATTAATGTTTTCTAATCTAAGTTAAAATTAATAAAAGATTGTATATTTATCAGAAAACTAAACAATGTGCATGTTTTTATTGTACTTTGTCATTATCAAAAATTGTTAAAAAAAGTACAATCTACTTGTCAATTCAGTGTTCCAAGAATACTAGTTAATAAGTTCTCATTAAAGTGAAATCCGACTGCAATGTATGCAGTAGTGTATGAAGATCGCGTATAAAATGAGTAGAACGGGAAGAATATTTGCGGCAAACATGATCGCGTCCTCGGCATTAAAGCGTTTTGCCCGATTATACCATTGCTACAAGAGTCCACGCGAATAGCAACATCGGCCCCAATGGAGCGCGAAGTAACGGCGCAAGATGCCGTCGCGAGCTTAAGTACAAGTCCCCTTGGGATCTTTAGGTTGCACGATCTTCGAGGCGTTTCTCTCTCTCTCTCTCTCTCTCTCTCTCTCTCTCTGTCTCGCTCTCTCGCGGGAGCTTTCGTCCGCACTGAGCGATAACTGTCCTCCAAACTTTAACCAAGCTCGCCATACATAATGCCGCTGATATGATAATCGTACAATGCACGAGGAAAACTTTCTTTCGCAGGAGAGTCCATCGACTTGTTCGCGGCTACTTTCGAGTACTTCACAAAGATTTTTGTGACTTTAATGCCCTCTGTGAGTCATTTTTAGGAGAAATAACTTTAGCTTTATTATATCTTCTTTTAATTGAAATCAGCGTTTCTTATTAAAGTGAATTTCTATTGCCTAGCAGTTCGTGACAATCTGCCGTTTACGCGAAAAATATACTAGTCCTCTAAATTGATAGTTTTCTTAGTCTACGTATTACAGTCTATATTCTTAGTATCATTGCTTTTTCTGCCCAGTAATCATTTTTCGCTGCTGTTCGTAGTTTCAGAATTTACATTACAGTGCACGTACATTACACCTGTTGCTGTAATGCCCTGTCGGTTGGAGAGCAGATTTATCATAGTAACCTACATTTATAATTAATGCAAACATTCAGATTATTATTATGTTACTTTTCTTATTGCTATAGCATGTGAGCCATACACACACACTCACACATACACGCATACACAGCGTTGATTTATGAATAATATATAGCGAAATTACTCTTGTCACGAGTACAACAGTCAGCAATTTATGGAAATCCATAAAAGAATCGACGTAAGTCCGAGCAACGCGACTAACTTTGGGAAACAAATATGTCAACTTTCGCGCTGACGAATACTTGCTTTATCGACGAAAAAGCTTTACAAGCTTCCGCGCTAAAGTTTGAAGAAAATGGAAAAAAACAACATTTCAGTTAAAGTTTCTTGGCTGTCTGATGGTCTATGAAATACGTCAGTACAGACGACGGCGCTTAGCTTGTATGCTTAAAAAATAACTTATAATACGATTGGCGATACTTAAAAAGTCAATGTCCTCTGTGAACGATGTAGGTCACTAGCTACGTATCTAAAATGAGAAATCTATCGATATACGGAACTAATTTTCAATCCTATACACCTGTTTATCGCCGAAAGAAAGCTAGATATTCACGTGTTTTCTTATATTTACGCGTTACGCGCTGATAATGGCTATTGCCAAATGAACGAGCAACCTTGTGATTATGCCGGTGGTGCGTTGCGCCATGTATTGTGTCATGAATATTTCATGGTACGCGCGCTCATGGGGACATTTATTGGTGGGACGCGGCTATGCCTCATCGCATCTCAACTCGCAGTCGCTTTGATCTCGTTTGCGCGTCCAAAGTCATGCAGCCCCATTCACGTAGATTCAAACGCGAATAAAAATCGTCAAATCAATGCACGCGCGCAACTCTAGCCCTTTCGCTTAACGCGTCTACTCATAAGCTCGTACTCGACGACAGTAGCTATATCAAGTCTATAACCGCGGAAAGCTCGAGCCTGCAATGTAGCGTTTCCAAATACGTTGTTTGCTAATTTGCAAATGAGGTTCGCATCGCTTGTTCGCGGTGTGTAACGCACATCTTATCTATGTATAGTGGAGTCAAGAGTGTAAATATACCATGCATGCATATGTCAATTAATTGAATAGAACTATTTTTAATTGGACTCTTATAAATATGTTACGCACGCGTCGCTTTACCGAAGCTATGTATAATATGAGAGACTGTTGGTTCAGTAAAATCACTTTTCAGTAAATAAGTTTGGGCTTGACCAAGTTCAACGTTAAACATTTGAATTTGCTCCAAACAGATGTGATAATTTGATCACGCTACGCATGTACATTCGTTTCATCTAGTTTAATTCTCGGCTTGATTCACGTCGGGTCAGTCATTATGCAATGACGAATCTAACTCAACATGCGCGATTGTTCTTTCAAAGAAAAGGCAATCAGCCGTTGCAGCAAGCAATTCCCATTGAGAGTCAGAGATAACAGCTCGGGCATTGAATTTACGCAGCGGCTCCTAAATCATCCAATAACGCCGAGCAAACGCGCACTCGTATGCTTCGCGGCCGAACAATCGGTCAACGACAAACATCCGGTTTGTTATCCACTCACTCACCCGACGTCAAAGCGACGATCAGCAAAAGGGCTCGTACGGCCAGAGAGATGACGACTCGCATGTTGACTCGCACTCTCGTTCTTTGTCTCTCGCGCTCTGGAGCTCGGTGTCTTCGTTTTCTTTGCTCCTCCGTTCTTCTCACCTCTCAGTCTGCCAACTGCTCATGCGGGGTTAGCTGCGTACCGCACTGCCTCGCGCATCATTCTCATCAACAATGCGGCAATGTTCGTGCGTTGCTGCTGATCGAAAGTTTGCCTCACGTCAAGACGCTGAGCTTCCGACTTGAAACACGAATACTTTTCATATTGCTTGATTGATGTGCCGGGGCGTCAAACTGTCGGTTCCTTTGAAGCAATTACAAGCACGCACTCGTAGAAAAGTCACTTGAAAAGCCGCACCAGCACGGCCTTCGTGACAAGTTGAGCGTCTAACTGCTTAACTCCGGGGCACAGAACCTGTGTGCATGTGTGTATATGTGTGTACGTGTGTACGTGTGTCTGTGTCTACGTGCGTGTGCGCGCGCGCGCGCGCATATGTGTACAACTCGCTTTGAGAATCGAAAGTTAATGCGACGAGCAATCGAGGTCGTTATAATTTAGCCGAATCTACATCGATTCGTTCTACTTTCAGTGAAGCGTGAAAGCAGATCGATGCCTCGAAGAAATACGACTGATCGCGACGCGAGCGATTCGCGCGCAAAACTCGCGACATCACTGCGGGTCGTGAGCCTGCGTCGTCGCTTTTCTGGCCGAATCTCCACGTCCACTGCGCCGCGGGCACTGACTGCTGCCGCTGCCGTCGAACCGACTACTCGGCTATTCTACCCCACCCCCCTCTCTCCGGCCGTTCACTACCGAGCTTGCGCGCTCTCGAGCTTGCGCACACCTGCGCTCACGGAACGTGGCTGTGTTAGCTATTTTATTCATTTTATTTATCAATTATTTATTTTTGATTGCTAGCCTTTCCTTTTTTTTTATATATTTCTCTACTTTTTCACTGAATGAAAATTTCAAGTATATCTTTTACACGTTTTTATCAGAGTAGATTTTCGTATGCAAAAAAGCTTGCAAACTTTGAAGTTTTTGACATCTGCGAGTAATAAAGTTTCTTGAAATAAACAAGGAAAAAGAAAAAAGAAAGTTGTAAATTGTAAATTCCAAGCATAGCTTGAAAGTTCTTTTATCGCTGATGAAATGAAGCGAGTCAAAGGATCACAAATAAAGGTTTCTTCGTTGTACTTCAGATTTCTTAATGGATAGAAGACTTCACGGAATAAGTCGTAGCGATTTGTAAGATAATGACGATGCGCACACGTGCTCGAGTTATATTTGACCCCTCGTAAAGTGTAAAATAATGTTGTCGTTCTTCCACTTGAGTTACTTGAGAGTTTTGCCGTTGTCGAATTTACGACAATGCGCTGACTATATACGTATAGGCGCATATACTACATACACTCGTGAGCGTTAGTGGAAAATTTATCACGTTCTTGATGTAATATATTTGACGGATTTAATGACGCGAAATTCTTCTCGATCTCATGGTAAAACTTTCACACTAAGCGCGCCCGCGTATACCTTGTACCTTTTTTACTCCGGGCAGCTCGATTATCCTCTCCGCGTCTTGCGAAAACATAAAAGTACTTTTATAGCGGCTTTAGGTAATATGTACGCGTGATATATGATGACACGAGTACTGACAAATTTCTTCGGTCGAAGAGGAATTTAAGTTTTAAAGAACTGTGATGTAGGTCAGAAATAAAAGAGGATATCATTCATTCCATTTGATGGGGGGTTTGTTTTTATTAAAAAAAGTGTAACTTTTTACGTAACATATCTATGACGTTAACTAACACATCAACTTCTTTAAATAATCCTTCCTTACATTAATTGGATTCTCAATATTTTACATAATGATTTACTCGCAGTTTGCATTTAGAACAATGATTGATAAATTTTTCGTAGAAGATGATCATTAAATACAGTTAATCTTTGTACAATATTCTTATTTACATAATTTCATTGCTTTGTTACTGTTGTAAATCACGAGCGCTATATTGCGGTTCCATGTTTGACTTTATTATGATTGATTATAAGATTTTATTGAATGTTCGATAATATTACATAATAATTTGATTGAGAATGATTTTCACAAAACTCATGTCTATATTTTAAAATTTTCGTACTGAGGTTTATTTTATTTCAGAAATCACATTAAAAGAATGATTATCAATTAATATTAATGAAGCTGATGTTAAAATTATCATACTTCTATATTAATGCTATTTTTAAATTGAAAGCAAATATTAGAAAAACAAACTGTTATCTAGTTAATGTGAAAAATAATCAATTATTCGAATTATTTTGATGTGACTTTTATGAAAATCATTTATTTAATATTTGTATACAGGCATAACACTGATTTATAAATTTTTTATAGTTTGTTTGTAGATAATTATTACACTGTAACAGGTGATAGGCATACTGTACAAGTTTATGCAACATCAATATTTAATACTAATGATTTGCATATTTGTTTAATTACTATGAGATATTATTACACCTTAATATTTTTGAAATCAAATTAATATATGCGCTCATTAATTTTAATACATTAGATTGCTCTAGGAAAATGCATAGTTTAAGGTGCATAAAAAATGTTCTTACCTTACAACTAAACATGAACTTGGATAACAGCAATAATATTCCATTTGGTATAATATTTGTGATTAGTTACAAGACTAGGCATATTCTCAATGGTCTCGAAGATTTACAAGCGCACTTATCGTATGGATGATTTGAAAATTAGATTCCTACTTCGACTCTTTTGGCTGATATTTACCCTCTTTCGTAATTTATTAACATCGTTCGATCAGTAACTGTCATTAGAAAGATAAAAAATGTTTTTTTTTTCACGATTTCCAAATATACTGCGCCGTTCTTTTAACTCGATATATCAATTTGATATTTTATTATCGAATCACAATAGTATACATATTCACAGGTGCATTCACACTATGTACAACTTGCACGTGAAGTTTATAAATAAACCACAATATCACTACGTCCATCCTCTTTTTACGTCTCGTAGTATTGTTTTTTGAATCATTTTTGGTGTATCGATATTCTTTGGAGTTAAATATGAAACTGATAAGTCTGCATGAATTTGAGCTTGTACTTTCTTTCAATGTGGTCAAAAATTCTGTAACACAAACATACGTAGAAATGTGAAGATATAATTTCGTTTTATCCAATCATAAATAAAAATACAATGTATTTTCACGTGATTTTGATTCATATTTACGGGTTTTCACAGTTACTATATTTTGTAATATTGAATATAGCGTAATTCATTTAGAATTAAATTAAAACTAAAAATTGGTAGAAACTGCAAAATCATTTTAGATCTTTGTTACTGAACACATGATCAAAAGTTTGTAACTGATAGTAAACGTATTGAATTCAATATCACGTGAGGCGTATTTTATGAGATTTGGAATATTAATATAATAATGTTTCAGTGTTTAAACATACCAATTTTGATTAATGACCAAGAAGAAGATATGCAGTAATGCTTAACAGCATAATTGATAAACTCACGTTAACTTGTCCTGTCCCGTTTTCTGTAACAAAATTTTATTTCATTCCATTAATCTACTATCCTTGCCAACTTTGCATAAAACATTCATTCATTCAAGCGCAATCAGGGATCAATCCAATTTAGTTCCAGTCATGCAATTTGAAGTTAGAAAGTTGCTTCTAATTGAAAAAAAGTGAAAGAGAGTAGTTTGAAATTGACAGAGTTACGAGCGACAATGCTGACTGCGGTTAAAAGTTTATAAGTATGTGGATCGCTTTCGCAAAGGGGATAGGGTGCTCCCTCGTTAAGGTATCGGAACTTTTTGATAGGGAAAGTAGGCTTTCATCGGAATCTAGTTCATTAGGTGAGCAATACTCGTGCAAGTGGTAGGCAAGAAGAGAAAAGAATTTTTCGCATTATCATTGACATCCTTGCTCTCGTTGGGTACTTTTCAAATTAAATGTCCATTACGATATGCTTTTATTTGCACAATAAATGAGAAAGACACTTTTTACATAAAATTACGTTCAGTAAAAATAGTGAACTGGTCAAAATGGTAATTACGAGTATAATAAGTCATGAATAAATTGAAAATAAGAACAAGTAGTAACGTAATTGAGAGATAAGAGATTCATGGTTAATTCGAATAGTTCAATGTCTGTTTCTGTTTTTTCAATTTTTTTTCATTTCCTTTTAAGAAGACAACCGAGATAACTAGTAAATATGAAATGTAGCATTTGTTTCCACTCTACATTTACAAAGTTTGACGTCATAAGTCTCTGCTTTATTTTTTTTTACAATTGATCAACTAGTCGAGAATGCATTTCCCTTGCTTTTCTTTCGTAGAGTGCAATTTTTGCTCTCTCCCTCTTGCCAATTGAAATATCGTTCCTTCATATAGCAAGCAAGATGTCGAGAACTAGGTCTAATCTCCGGTAGTATTTCCAAGGAAATAACTCATTCGACTGGTTAGCTCTCAATCTTTCGTTTCTTTTTCTTTCTTTATCGACTCACCTACCTTCGTCGACGTTCACGTTTATTTATATACATAGCTACATGACAGCGTATTGACTCAAAAAGTTGTCACACTTTGAAAAGTAATCCTGTCAATTGTTACTTGATGAGCAACTGGTTACTGCAGCCTCATTTCGTGATCGTCTCCCAATTAGCTGCCGAAAAATATTCTTCCCGTTTTCCTCCCTCCTTACTACTCCTCGCGTGCAACCGTAATTGCCGTTACCTCGTTTCACGAGTCAGTGTGCTTAATGCGCATTTAAAACGTACTTGTTACTGGAAAAAAAAGGAGATTCGAATACAAAGCCAAGCTTAAAAGTGTGCTAAGCGCGTTTTTTGCTTCTTTCTCTCGATGTCAATAAATGGGCCTCGGCCTCAGACTATCCTGAAAGCTTCTCTCGTTACATTTCGATCGCTTTCTTTCAATGCCCCTTTTTTCGTGAAATATCTACAATCGATTACCAATGAGCTCAGTCAGTTTCGCATCTTTTATTTAATCGAGTTGAGCTTTTATTAATTATTTTTCACTTTGGAAGTTGAACTTACTAATGTACTACTCAAATATTAATTGGAAGTATAGCAATTGGCTTCTGTATAATTGTTCATAAAATATTGCTTGAGATTTGATTTATTAATTATACGCGTCTGTTACGTATATATCGAGTAATTTATAAGAAAAATCAAGCAATATGGGTTAGTTATTGACACTCAATTATTAATTTTAACATTCCACTCCTTTACATTAATGATGAAGCTTGCGAATGGTGAAACGATCACTTGAAGTTTAACAGATCGTAATCTCATAGAAGCAAGTATAGAACATCAATTAAACGATTGAAATCCAGACATATAGTGCTTGAGGTGGTAAGTTTGCGAGATGTATAACTGGTCTACGAGCTTCCAGTATTATAGGTCGGGCAGTAACTCATCATGCTGTGGCCGCATACATCTCGTACGCGTGCGTACAGCTGCAACCTGGTAAATAATTCGACGGCAGCGTCGCTACGAGAGAGGGACTATATGACATTCTCAGCTGCTAAGTTCAGTTTGTTTTGACGATACCTTTCAATGGAAATGTCTTATTGATTTCGGTGCTCAGAAAAAGTATCTGTGCACGTGTGTGTACACGCGCGCGCAAGCGGCAAGAGAGTGAGAGTGCACGATAAATCTCCGCTGACCCATTTTTTCCCTCTAGCGGAAATTCGCATTAGGACCGCCGCCGGCGAGTTGGCAGTGGTCGGGAAGTCACGCGCTTACACTCAGCAGACAGACGTTGAGTAATCGAGCGAATGCGAGAGGCTCGCGATGTACTCTCAGTAATCGGCATTTAAAATTTTCAACAGCAGCCGTCCGACGTGGAAAAAGAATTACACGTTGGAGGAGCGTATCCTCAACTGTACAGATGAGGCTGCGGTGCTAAGCTTGCAAATTTGGTTAGCAGCATCGCTCGATTGAGACGGATAGCGCACTTGGACCCTCCTCAATTTTAGGATTTGCCCGGTCGACTGGCCATATAAAAGGATAAATCTCGTTTTCTTAAGTCAACATTAATCTCGATCGACGCCCACTGGAACTTCCCTTTGGGAACCAGTGCAGAAAGAAGAGATTTCTTTATTTGGTTTTTCTTTTTTCTGACTGATAATACGTTATTCTCCCGCGGGCGACACTCGGGCTTTGTCTCTCTCTCTCTCTCTCTCTCTCTCTCGCTCTGTCTATACTCGACCGCGTACGTGTTTATCGGGCTCTTATCGCGAGCGCATTCGCGTTTGCTTCTTTTTTCCTCTCGCTCACTCGCTCTTTCTCTCCTGGCACGGTTTCTCGCGTGATAAACTTTAATTCTTTGCTAGACGAAAGAGAATAACCAGGCCCTTTGTGGGCCAAGCTTCATTAACGTTTCTCATTGCTTCAAAAGTTGGCCGAAGAAAAGCTTTGTGCTTCATTTGCATTCGCAACGAGATGACGGCGACGAGACAGAAGAGAGGTTTCTTTGATTTCGAGTGCTCCACGCAGAAGTCGTGAATTTTACAGAACGTGTTCGAAGTTTACTAATTGGGGTGTAACTTTGATTATTCTTGGATGAAAATCGCAATGAAAAGAACTGAATTTGCGCCGTGAGTTTGGTACTCTGCGTGAACTTTAAGCGAGCTATGCTGATTGGTCGGATTCATGCAGATTCTTTAATTTATCCAATGTTTGTCCAAGTTATTCCTTCAATTGTATACATACCAGGGGTCATCAGCAGTGTCAAATGCCGTATAAAAAAAAATGCCGTTCGAAAACTTGATTTCCATTAGGAATCATTTGAAAGTTTTAGCCGGAGAATCTCGTAAAAAGGCAAGAAGTTGATCGACAAGCCTCGGCGCATATCAATAATTCGGGCTGGAAAGCATGACACGAGAAGTCCATTAAAGTCAAAAAGAAAACTCATCGCTACAAATCAAGCAAATCTTGCGTGCTTCGTGGGCGCGCTCGGTATCTATCTCAATATTACAATATATCACCAGCGATCCGTGTTCTAGCTCATTCTACTTTTCTACCTCGGGCCCACCTTATCCTTGTAATTCCCTATCTCTCTCTATCTCTCTCTCACTCGCTCTCGTTCCACTCTCAATTTCCTGTCTCGGGCTTGTGCGCGCTATCAACAAGAGATAGGGGTGAAGTCTCGCGAGACTCCCCCCAACTACTGCTGCACTTTCTCCTCGCGCGCTTTTTTCCCCTCCTTCTCTCGGACATCGATATAGCAGAGGCTCGTCCTCGAGATTTTATATTTCCCACGGACCATACGTTGCATTTTATTTCTCGGCAATCGGAAAGCTAACGATATATACGAGGGGAATTGGCGCCGAGCGTATCGCTTGTGACTTGGGGCGAACACCAGTAATTTTCAGTTTGATACTTGAGTAATTTTCATCGTTGCTGACCTTTTGCTCTCGCGCCCGTACTCTCGCCGCAGGATACAGCAAGTGAGAGAGAATTTATCGTTTCACACACAACGCCAAGAGGTTTATATTCTCTCGATGGTCTATCGAGGAAAATTCGTTGCTGCTCCTTTTTTACTGGCCTTCGCGGTTGGTTTATTAAAAACTTGCCGAATTATTCGGGCTCAAGCATAGTATTCGAGAACGCTTGTGTGCGAAGGTTGGCTTAATCAATCTGAGTTTTCGCGAATTTATAGTCGGGAAAAGAGCAAGTTTAATTATACGTTTGACGATATTCTATTGAAAATGCAATAGGAAAGCTTTGCAAATTTCATCGACTAATCAAGCCATGAAAACCCAACGAATCAACTCAACTGTTACACAGGGATTCGTCGTGTGGATTAGCTTGTAGAAGTTTTTTCGCGACGAGTTATAAAAAATGACACATGGCTTGGTTGACTTTCAATGTGGCTTAGTTTCTAGTTAATAATGAAGCAATTTTTGGCTATTCACAGGTGCCCTCGTGCTTTTGAGAGAGTCGCGCGCGCTTAAACTTTTATCATCTACCAGTTTCCAGTGCACTTGATTAACCTCATGAATGTTCGCCATTAGCCTTTAATTGTGAAAGTCTGAAAGTGGATTTTGCGGCGCGTGAAGAGAGCCAAATATATGTATATTCAATCTTGGCTGTCTGATAATTATCAGGATAATCGAGAATGAGCCGAGTAAACTTTGCGTGTTTAATAAAGTTTAAAGTAAATCTTAAGCGCACGCTCGCGAAAGCGAGAGATAGAGCTCTGACTTGGATATTACCTGAGGAAATAACTTTTGAGATTGAAAATTATTAAGATTCATTTGTCTTTCAATTTACGAGCCAAACTTTTGGAAGCTTCACGGATTATTTATTACCATCGGCGAATAAATTATACCCTCGTCAACGTTATTTATTTGTTTCTATTACTCCCGTCTGTCACGACCGGGCAACTCTGAAAAAAATCTTTCTGAAAAATAGTCATAAAGCAACAATATATTTGAGGATCAAGCAAAGTTTTAATTGCCCCGATATCTACCATAGTGGCAAAAAAAAGTAGCAAGTCACATTCATTTCATT